ACATATATATGTATATATATATGTGTGTGTGTGTGTGTGTATATATATATAAAACCTCCCTAAAATCGCCTACCTAGAAAATGAATTACACATTTAAATCTCCGGATGTAGGGAAAGTGGGAAAAAGATGAATTTTCCAAACTTCGGTGAATATTTATTGCAGCCTCAAAATAAAATTCATATATAAATAGAATCTAAATATACCGAAAAGTACTTTACAAAAATGCTCAAGATGCTAATACAAAGGCCCTTTGGACTTTTGTTATATATACGGCCCTGCTCCTCCCCATCTTGTGGTAAGATTTCAGACCATACCTACCATGCTTGTCAGCTGTACCTCTTATTGGAAAGAGCTCTAAATAAGAGGTCTGTTACTCAAACACCTTATTCTTATGTGTAGAAATAGTATCCCTTGGACTGCTCATGTAAACATTTCTTGGATAAAAGTTTTTTTGTGTTTTGGGGTGTTTTTTTTTTTTTTACAGCAGACAATTGCTGGTATGTCTGACTACTTTTGTGGTGGCACAAGCAATCCAGGTGTTGGGGCAGTGGGAGTCAAGGATGGTGGCTGTCACGAGGGCCAAATGTTGTGGCCTACATTAATAACCTGTTAGCACAGGTATTGTGGGCTGTTGACTCTTAATTCGCTTTACTCTTTAAAGGGAAATTATAAAATGTACAGTAGGGATATAAACAACTCTTTACCCTCTCATCTTAAACAGGTGACACAAAAATAAAGCCACGTCACATACTGTGTGGACTAGGGTTTAAATAAATCAGTAAATTCATGCATATATACATATAAAAGGAAGTGAAAAATAAAACTGCGAACATTAGTATTTTTAAGAATTTGCATATTTATCAATATTGCTAATGACTTAACATATAAATTACATCAGTAATAATTTTGAATTGCTTGACACTCAAATTTTGACCAGTCACAATAAAAAGATATCTCAGGAACCCAGAGGTGGGAGCCCAAGCTCCAAGCTCCCAGCCTAAAGGAAAAAGGAATGGGTGACGGAAAGCAGTGGACCTGAGTGCCACACTGCACTCAAGTTATTGCTGATGGACGGTGAAAAGACTCCTTTGTGGAAAACAGTTTGTCAAGTCCTTTGTTGTAAGGACTGCTTTGTTGCAGTTCTGACTCCCTGTCCTAAAATTCATATTCAGTATTCACCTGAAAAATTTGCTTAAATTTGACATACTTGTTTTTTTCTAAGTCCCCAAAGTACATTAAAGATTCAGATGGCAAATAATTTTATTCAGTACTCAATATGTACCAAGCACCAAGGACTCAGTGGAGAACAAGGTAGATAAGCACCCTGCCGTATTGGAACTGAAATCTACTGGTGAATTATTATGTGTTAATATTATGTAAAGTATATTGGAGGATAGTTGCCTTGAGAGTTTCTTTGTGGAAAATGTTCTTGGGTTTGTCATAGTCTTAAATCCTAAAACTGTCAAAAACTTTCCAGGTTACTCCTGCAAGTAAGGTTAGGCACCCTAGGCAAAAGAGAACTTTGTCAGGGGATGCAGTGGGCGGGAGGGCACAGAAATAACACCACTTCCCTCAGGGTTTTACTATAAATGACACCACCTGGCCACTTCAGAAAATGTTGTGTTTATCCTTTTCATCAAAGTATACTTGGTAAGTGGGTGGATAGTGCTGGATATAGATCCTCATCCTCAAGAAAGCATAAGCATTGGTTTCCTCATAAAGACACAGGAAAACAATATATTGTGTTTTTTGAGGATAAAGCATCATTTTTAACTGTCTTGTAGTTTGAAAACTTGAACGAGATAAGAATTGATAAAGGTGTGTTTCGTGGAAGCCTGGAGTATTTCTGAAGTTACCGTCTTTGGAAGGGATAAGTGATAGGAAAAGGGGGTCACTTGAATGTGACCTGGTACTTGCTTCTGTATTTGGCTTTTTGCCACTGCTGTGAGACCTGCCTAAAAAAGACTGTCAAAATCAGATGCCGTGTATTAGTCTTAATAACATTCTCTGGTCTTCTTCGTATCCCACCACCTAATGAACTTTCAGTGTACTAGATCCAAGTAGCTTATCCGTAATTGTATTAAATTAGGAGCCATTTATTTAGTTTTCAGAAATTGATGTTTCCTCCGTAGTAAGGTCCTTGCCCTGCAGGAGCTCACAACCTATTTGAGAGACAGATAATGAATGATGATACCTACAGATGAGCTAATGTGACGAGGTAATGTTACAGGCCAGGCACAGACGTCATGGGCCATCCTCGTACTCCTCCTAGCGTTAAGACTGGCCTATATGCCCACACACCCAATCAATCCATACTGAAAACAATTTCTTGCTTGTTGCATGGCTTGGAATAACAGGTGCCAAGGGCTGCCTTGTCCATTTATGTTCCCTTTATAGTCTTTATGTACTGTATGTACTATATAAGAAGTTTTTTAATCTCTATTATACTTTGAAGAAAGTTAAGAGAAAATGTATTGTTATGCAAAGCATCCTCATAACTGTTCACTTACATAGAAGCCATCCCAGTGAGTTTTTCTAGCAGGCAGGAGTATGTTTAGATTAATTCCATCCTTTGCAAGCCATCATAACAGGTCAATAAATCCTAACTTGGCAAATTTACTTAAAAAGCCTCTTCCCTCTGATAAAGACCTTCATAAGTCCGTATCATTGACCTTCAAAAATTTGGGCTCAACTAGTGGTTATTATTATCTTGCCAGCACTAATTAATGCTCACTCTTTTGCAATTAGATTCCTTTAGCTTCTAGTCTCTACTTCTTTACCATTCTACATTAAATACTAACCACAAAGTCAAGACAAATCTTTGTCCTTTATTTCTTGATCTTCTGTCAAAGAAGCTTGGAAATTTGTCTGTTGACATAAAACCATATACTTCTATAGCTGGAAAAGATCTTACTAGTTCAAAACCATCATTGTAATAGATAAGAAAATGGAGTCCAAGAGATGCGAAGTAACTTGTTCGAGGACACACAGTTAGTGGCAGTGCCTATATTCAAACCAAATTTCTAGGCCACTCCTCTGCTTACCTATTTCCTGGGTCCTGTCTTCTCATCAGAGCACAGTGCTACTCCCACTCATTGTTTTCAGCCTTTTGCTCTTTAAAACTATGAAACGTCTCCCATGCTTCCAGGTTTCTCATGTGAAGATGCTTAAATCTCTTCTTGCTTTCATCATTCAGTACTCCCTTGCCCACTGGATTTTTTCTATTTGGATATTCTAATTTCCAATTCCAATTTGAGACCTAACTAATCACCTTCCTCCTTAGCTTATTTCTAGTGACAAAACTATTCTTCCCAGGCTCAGAACCTTGCTGGTGGTGATCAATCAATCCTTTCCTCTCTCCTCCCCTAGCACATTTGTGCAGGTCCTTTGAGTTTTGTCTAAATGATTACTGTGCTTCTAGACTCTTGGCCTCAATAAGTGACAAGAAGTGTTTTGAAGCTGATTCCATCACTTAGAAAACTTATGTGAACTGTCAAAGCCTCCGTTAACTGATCTGTAAAGTACGGTAGTAGTGATCTTACATTGTGAAGATTAATTGAAATAAGATACAAAATTTCAGTTAGATGCTCAATATTTGTGGAATGAATACTAGTTCCTTCTTCCTTAAAACTATAATGAATATATGAGTGTAAAGATTTAACTACCTAAACTATAAAAAGATTAGATGTTAATACTGGAATTTGTTTTTTTAAGTGCTCAGTAGTGTCTCCTTTGCTCTATAATCACATCAAGTTCTAAGTGTAGAAACTCATTTTGTCTTGGTCTATTTTTGTTTATAACAGCTGTATTTAACATAATTCATTTCCATAAAATCCACCCTTGGAAATACACAAATCAGTGGTTTTTAGTATATTCAGAGTTGTATATATCACCACTATCTGTACTTTTAGAACATTTTCATTATTCCTACCTGTTAGCAGTCACTCCCCATTCCTTCCCCATAACTCCTGGCAACCTCCTATGTTTTCTATCTGTGGACTAGCCTGTTCTAGCCATTTTATAGAGATGGAATAAAATATGATCTTTTGTGTCTGGCTTCTTTCACTTGGCATGTTTTCGGTGTTCATCCATGTTGTAGCATGTATTAGGACTTCATTCCTTTTTACGGCGGGATAATATTCCATTTTATGGATAGACCACATTTTGTTTATCCATTCACCACTTGGTAGACATTAGGGTTGTTTCCACTTAAGGATTATAATGAATAGTACTGCTGTGAATATTCAAGTACAGGTGTTTATGTGGATACATATTTTCAATTCCCTTCAGTATACAGGAGTGAAATTAGTATAGAATCTTTAGTTGATAAAGCAAAGAATTTGCACTTCAAAGCAGAGTACTCACGGTGAAAGAACTAAAGGTTCTCATGTGGAAAGTTTGGGGTGTTCCCTTCTATTGGTTCTTAGAGATTGAAATTCTTTGCATTGGACCTCACAGAGCATATGTTCCCTGAGGTGCTTGGCACATCATAGAAAAAACACTGGAAAAGGGGAAGAGCCTTTTCTGAAAGGCTCAGAAACACAAATGGCCCCACATAATAAAGGGTGCTTATAATAGCACAGGGTAACAAAATAACCCCCTAATCTAGTGCTTTACTCTCACCAAAGTATTTATTTTCATTTACTTTATATACAAGGTACACTGCAGGTATCAGAAAGGAAAAACTTCTAAAGGGATGCAAATTAAGGAAAAGTTAGATTAAGGTGAACACATTTTAAAAGTATCCTATCCTGTGCTTGAGTATCCTGTGCTTTAGAGTTAGGATAAGAATGCCATTTTCTTAGCCATCCCCCTTCCCTCACAAACTGAACTGAAAAGGAGAGAAGAGGGGTCTGGAACAGTCCTTATGATGTTTCCATTCAGCTCAGGACCTTTACCTTTATAGAAAGCCATGGGACTGGTAGAAAATCTTTGAAGCAGAGCTCGGCATTAAGCATCACAGCCATTACTAATCACTTTCCCTTTTCTTGTTTTTCAGTGAACGAGATAATTGGGAGAGACATGTCCCAGATTTCCGTTTCCCAAGGAGCAGGGGTGAGCAGGCAGCCTCCCCTCCCAGGTCCTGATTCCCTGGATTTAGGAAGATCCGGCAGGCCCTGACACTGCTCACTGCAGCCTCATGGCCATCACCATGTTCTTCTCAGCAGGTTTCTCTCCTTGGACCTTGGGTCTCCAACTCTGTGGTCTTCGGGACTGATGCCAGAAGTTGGGATCATTGTATGTGGGGAAAGCAGCATTCCTCCTCCTTAGGCCTTGTGTAGACTTTGTACAAGACCAGGAGCAGCTTAGGCTGTTCGAGCTTTGGGGAAATGAGCTTTGCCTTTTATATTTAAATAAGATACTTTTATATGATGGGTGCTTTGAGTGTGAATGCAGCAGGCTCTCCATTTCAGAGGTGCTGCTTTTGCAGGTGACCTGGTTGCTTAGTTAGGATTAATAATTTCTACTGCTTTATGGTCATTTGAAGGACCCTTTAGCTTTGATATTTTTTAAATAGGAACTTTTGATAAAATCTTCCCGAGGTAAATGTAAAAAAAATTATTTGAAGCCCACGTCTATGCCTCAGAAACTCAGCATGTGTCCTAAAGCCTTTCATAGATTTATAGGAAATAAAGCCAAATGTAGCTCGCTCTTCTTTATAAAAGTAAACTGTTAGATGAAATGAGAAGAGACCATTCCAATCACTGAAGTGTTGGAATATGAAACAACATTCCAGAGCATAGCTTTTTTGTAGCTTTCTAGGTACTCTTTCTGCAATCTCTTCATACTGACTCCATGTTGAAACTGTTTTTTTCCCTCAGAGCCTTGAGTAAAATAGCTACATGAGATGTGACTTGGAAAGGTGGGGTTTTTAGCTTGGTAGCTTTAATTACCTGCCATCCTACAAACAAGGAGGCTGTGGAGCGTTCTTCCCTTTTGTGTCTTCTGGTCCCAGACCTTGTCCAAGTGGGAGCATCTGCATTTTGCTGCTCTGTAACTTTGGAAGCCTGTCTCACGATGGTTTAGGCAACTTTGCTGGTTCTGATTCGTCTCTAGCAGCCAGGTTGTGTCAGAGACTTAAGCACAAATGAGCTATGCTTCAGGACAGGGGCAGAGAAAATGGCAGGACTCTAGATGGGAAGCTTTTATGATTGACACTGACGTGGAAGGCTTACCTCTCATTTTGTTTACAGCCTAAAATGATTCTGGCCTGCTCTGTCCCATCTGCATGGCCTAAAAACAAGCCTTTTCCCAGAAAGGCTTTGAGGCAAATCCAGAAGTGAGACCCTCCACACCAAAGATGCCCTGGTGCTGTTGCTGGTGAGGCTGGCACCCAAGGCAGGGGGCCAGCAAGAAATGCCAGCCTGCTGTCTACCAAAGGAGGCGCCCAGGTTGGGTGCTTTTCTCAAACCCTGCCCATACCCTTACCCTGTAATGAGATTAGTTACTTGTTCCAAGGCCTGGGCCAATTTTAAAGTTCCTGAAGTCTGCAGTATGTTTTCAAATGAAGTGATATACAGTTGACCCTTGAACAACATGGAGGTTAGGGGCACTGACCCCAACACACAGAAGTTCATATAACTTTTGACTCCTCAAAAACTTTTCTAATAGCATACTGTTGACCAGAAGCCTCACTGATAACATACGTTATATTGCTTGTATTATAAACATACACGTTTTGTTTTATTATAAATTGTATTCTTATAAAGTAAGCTAGAGAAACTGTTTTTCACATTGCCACAAACCCCCCCCCCCCCGAAACTTTTTCAGTATAGTTTTTGAAAAAATCCGCATATAAGTAGACCTGTGCAGTTCAAACCTGTGTTGCTCAAGGGCCAACTATACTTTCACTGATTTAGGAAGCATGTTTTTCGAGACAGGGCTGGCCAGAGGCTTTATGCTGTTATTCTAGGGGATTGTGGGTCCTAGATGCCAGGACCCTTTCCTGAGGCCGAGCAAAGGACTGGGCAGAGGAACCAGGCTCCTCGCCAATCAGCTCTCATCAGCCAGTAGGAGCTGCAGACCCAGGATGAGGAAGTATGGTCTTTTTTTTTTTTTTTAAGCCATGTTCTAGATTTCTCCCCTAAAACTAGTTAGAGAAAAATGTGTATTCCTGAGCAAGTCACTCTGGTCCCTCTTGGCGCTGGGTATTTTCATGTTTTCTTTGAAAGTGCATTTTGTGTCATTGAGTATGAATAGTGAGGTTTGCTCCCAGGCCTGTGGTTGGAAGCCCACAGCTTCCTTTAAAAGGGGTTGTAGGAGGCTGGCCCCTGAGGTGAAGTTACAGACTGCTGGCCAGACCTGCCTCTACCCTCTTGCTCCTGGTGTAGCTGCTTCACATAGGGTTCTTGCAGGAGTCCCCTTGCAAGACTGTTTGGGGGTTGCTCTGCTGCCCTCAAGAATAAAAGCCTCTATGATCCAGAGTTGCTATGCACCAAATTTTGATGCCTTTTAAATACCTTGATGCCTGTAGCACTAGAAATGCTATCCTATTTAAAATAAAAGTCAAATTTTAAAAGCTTTGTATACTATGTAAGCAGTTTTGTAAAAGCTTTGGTGTAAGAGTCAGTATTTTTTGGCTTTGTAGATAGAGACTTAAGGTTTTGTGCAACACAGTGGTGTTAAAAGCACACATCCATTGGACTATGCAAATGGACTTCTAGTAGCAGCACTGAGTAACTGGGTATGTGCTAGTACCCCTCTTCCCCCTCCAACCCGTGCTAGATCTTTGGTTGAAGAATGGGATGAGCAGCCTTCTGCTTACTGGAGATGCACAGAAAAACATGGCTGAGAACAGCTTTAAGAGAAACAGATGTTTTGGGTTCATGTGTGGTGCCCATGCCCAGGGGGGCTAGCCACTGTCACAAGGCTCCGTTGGGCCTGGCTATGAAGCCGTTTTTGATACTCAGAACAGATGGATCATCTTTAAGGCTCAGATGGGCTCAAGTTGAAACCTTGTATTTTATAAAATGGATGATGTTTAGTTAAGAACTGTTCTCAGTTATGTTTATGGCACTTGGGATTGATTGTATTTTCTTGTACATTTTGTGTTTTAAAACATTTTATAGGAGTACAGTACTCCTTACACAAATACAAAGGGAAGAGCCAACAATTCAGGCTCCTTGGTTACAGTGCTGAAATAATAAACGGTGACAGGTCAACAGTCTCCTTGAAATCTGCCTGAGTTTTCCTCCACCTGGGGCTGGCATAAAGCCCCTCCCTCTTGGGGGCCAAAGCTGAGGGCACTTCGGCTTTTAAAAAGTCCACTTGGTTAGGAACCTTTGTTTATTTTATGAAGGACAGGGTAGAGTTCCACATTCTTTCTGAAGCTTCCGTCCACACCCTCTAATGGATGCAAAGGACTTTCCACGACGTCTGCTCAGTTTAGGACAACTGACCTGCCTGCCCCAAGGTGTACGTGAAGAGTAGGCAGAAAGTTCCCTTTAAAATTCAAGCCTGAGTTTTTGTGTGAGGGCCTTCTGCCCCCTAGTGTCCTCTGGGGGTACTGCAGTCCAGTCCAGCAAAGCAGCCTGATGATTTTGCCATCCACAAAGCTGCAGGTGGAGTGGGCAGGGGGATGGACAGCTAGCATCCTTAGGTGGAACCACCCCGGCACAATGTGGCCACTGAGGTCAAAATATCCTGGGGGGTTGGGGACAGTGCACTCTGCCTCCCTGCCCTCCACCAGAAGGGACAGGGGAAAATACAACATTGGGATCTTTACTCAGCAAGTCCCAGGAGTCTTATTTTGAAGGCACAGGTGCTTACATCCTTAAAAAGAAAGCAAGCCTATCTGTGAATATCTGCCCTACAAAATCTGAGCATGGTTCATAGCTGGAACAGATGAAGGGCTCTCTAGGTGCTACTCAGACCCAGATGAGGCCACTGGGAGCAGAGGAAACACCATTCCACCCCCAGCTTTGCATGCAGGGTCCTGCCACCATCTTTGGGGTGAACAGGCAGAGCAGTTAAGTGAGGGATGGAGCTGGTGCTTGACTCCTCTGGGTACCTACTGAGAGCTTTGACAAGCCAGCAAGAAGCCACCAGGTTGAGGACACTGGTTCTCTGGATGTAGGAGAGGCATGTTAGCTGAGGATATCAGCCGGCTCTTACCTATTTGCTCCCTCACCTACAAACACACCCACTCTTTAGGGGTCTGTAACACAGTGCGAGGTGGGTCTCCAACAGGCATCAAACTGCTGTAGTCATCAGGTGTTAGCTGCAGATAAGACAGATATTCAGGGCAGGGAGCTCTGTGCTCAGCCAGCTCCCCAAGCCCTCCAGCCACACCTTACCTGATAGGCCTGGAAGACACTGAGCAGATCCTTCATACCAGCTGTGTATGGGACACCCTGCATACGGACCAGGGCTCCTGGCTGGGACAACACTGAGGTGGGAGCAGAGGCCAGGGCAGCAGGGGGTGTGGTGAGGTAGCCCACAGTGGTGGGGGAGACTGGAGGGCTAGCATGGGAAAGGCAGGGGTTAGCAGTGGTCTCTCCTACGGCCTAGACCGAAACCTGCCTCCCTCTTCCCTCACCTATGCCTCGTGCTTTTATTCAGTTCCTCCTCCCTAAAACCCCTGCTCCACAGAGTCATCTGCATTCTAATTTGTAGATGGTATCAGCCAGCCCACACCTGTGACTTGTCATCTCAGAATAAAGTCCAGCCTCCAGCAGACCTTGGGTTATCTGGCATGGGCAGGGGATCATGACCCTCTGCCAAACCAGGACAGAGGGCAGGACTGTGGAGTTCTCTAAGCAGCAGGGTACCTTGGGTAGTACGCTGTGTAGTTCATGTAGAGTTGAGTGGCTGGCCCTGGGTAGTAGGCAACAGGGGTGGGGGCAGCAGGCACCCTGGCAGCTGGGAGCAGTGCTGAAGAGGGATATAGAGCTGCCGTCTCAGTGGGGATGAGTGTTGGGGTGGCCTGGAAGGTGGCGTAGGTGGGCGATGAGAGGCCTAGAGGCAGAAGTAGAGAAGTAGAGGGTGGGGCAGCCACAACAGAGTCCCCACTGTAGAAAGCAAGGGTTGTGAACAGTCTGGTCCCCACATGCGTCCTTCCCCAACCCCTGGGACACTCACAGGGCAGCTTGCAGGGCGGAGGGGACATGCCACTGCGGCCCAAGGTGCCCCCCATCAGCACACGGCTCATCTCCTCTGTGGAGCATGGGACCACCTCCACATAGCGTTCCTTCATCACTTTCTTATGGCAACGCTGCGCAGCAGCCAGGGCCCGCTCTGCTGATGTCATCTGAATGAAGGCATCGCCTGATGGCCGGCCCTGTGCACACCGTCTTGTTAGCCGTCTGTCGTGTGCAAGAGTGCCTTACTTCCAACCACACGCCCTTCCCTAACTATATGGGTCTCCCCCGCCCAGCAGCAGCCTAACCTGCTAGTTGAGCACCATGTGCACCCCATGGGGCCGGATGTCAGTAGCTGCCTCCCCTAGAAAGCTCAAGATGTCTTCGATAGTGGCTGTGTAGGGCAGGCCTCGCAGGCGGACACAATCTCTCCCAGTCCCAGCTGCCAGGGGGAAGGGGATGGGCAGCAGTGGAGCAGTCAGTGTGGGAAGGAGTGGGCTGGATGCATAGCGGTTCAGGACCTAGTAAGGAAGGCAGCAACAGGCTGGTCGTGCCAAGTAGGGTGGGGGTACAGGGGATGGAAGGGGCACCCTGGAGAAGCATATGGTGGGTGGGGGAGCCCTGGGTGCTCACCTGCTGCACCTCGGCTGCAGTGCTCCGGAAGAGTTCAATGTATCGCTTACCCAGCATGCCCTTGTGCCTGCGCAGTGCAGCCTGTGCCAGCTCCTCACAGGCAAACAGGGCAAAGGCATCGCCAGTGGGCCGGCCATCAGGGTGGCGCACAAAGAGCAGCCCATCTGCACCCCCAGTCACTGGGCACTCTGACCCCAGGAAGCCCAGCACATCTGCTGGGCCAGCTGAGAAGGGCAGTCCCCGCAGCCGCAGGATCACCTGGTCTTCCCGGGACAGGAAACGAGCCACCTCTAGTGATGTGCCTTGGTGTGGGGCATGAGAGTAAGTCAGTGTGGGAGTCACCTCCTAACTTCACTGCCCTTCCAAATAACCACCCACACCTGGTACACGGGGGAACAAAAAGGCAAGGGGTGGTGGGGAAGCAGGACATGGATCAAGAACCAGAGGCAACTAGGTGCCGTTGGAAGTACACTCACCCCCTGCAATCTTTACAAACTCCTCTCCTGTTGCTTTATATACCTGTGGGTACAGTGAGGAGAGCCCATGGGTCTCAGGTCTGGCTGGCTTCAGCTCTGCCCCATTCCACTCCCAGCCCAAAGTCCTACCTCGATATAGCGGACACCCATGTGGTGTTTGTGTCTCTGCAGTGCTAGGTCCCGCTGCTCACTGTCCACAAAGTGGATGAGGGCCTCGCCATTTCTGCGGCCCTGGGCATTGAGGCAGAGCGCTACACCACCCCTGTGGAGCCAGTACTTCGTTAGTGCCTCCTGAGTAGGCCTGCCTTCTGGGGCCTACCCATCCCACCATACCCACCTGGCGATGTTCAGCCCTTTGAAGAAGCGAGCCACATCCTGGTCTGATGACTGCCAGGGGAGCCCACGGGCCCGAACCACAGTCTCACTGTCCACTGTGTCAGCCTTGCTACTGTGGGGTCAGGGCCTGGGTCAGAGCTGTCCAGCTCTTATCACCCCCACCCCGGCCCCCACACTCACCAAGGCCCTGACTCATATTTCTGCTTTACCACCTCGGGCTTCAAAAACAATTGACCTGAGAGGAGATGGCATGGGGGTCAGCAGGGTCTGGTGGAGGGGGGGTCTCCCCACCAAGCTCTGCAAAAAGAGGACAGTTGAAGGGGATGAGGAGGTGACAAAGGGCCTTCCATGTGGTTTCTCAGAAAAGGTAACAAGTGGGGAGGGGGACTCTGAAAAAGTAACAGGTGGGCATTTACCCAGCCCTGAGAGCAAGTGACAGGTGGTAAGGGGAGCCTTACCACTGGGCCCTTCGAGCAGGTGGAGGATGACAGCTACCATTGTCTTCACTTCCCAGACCCCAAAGTCATCCTCTGTGGCATCTGTTTCTAGCCCCAAGTCTATGAGCAAAAAAACAACAATGAGGAGATCCCAGCCTGAGAGGCCTTGGGGCAAACAGCAGGAGCACTAATCCTGGTCCCACCTAGGCTCAGGTCCCCTGTGTAACACGAAGAATCCCGAGAAGCAAACACATTTGCTTCACAGCCCAGCTCATGTATTCCCTTACAGCCCTGACATACATACACATATGCCCACCTTCCAAATGCACCCTAGCGCAGAGACATGTGCACCCAAGGACTCAAGAGAGAATGTAAACTTGCACGTGTTCATATAACCCACCAGCATGCACATACTCAGATACTGCCTACAGCTGCCCTTCCACCCTCAGCCTGCTTGGTCACAGATACCCTGTGCCATGGTGGCCACAGTGAGGTCCTTGGCAGGGCGGGCGCTCGGGTGTTGCACATGAAATTCTCTGCGGAGGTCGTAGAAGGAGAAGAAGGTGTCGGGGAGCACCAGGTTCTGGGGGCACATGGGAGTGGCGATGAATGGGGGGACTGAACAGCCCTGCCCACCCCCTTGACAGTGGGGGTCCCCTGTTGTGCCTTCAGTGCAATACCTTCCTGGAGGCCTCAGGGTGCAGGACCTGTCGCAGCAGCTGCTGCCCATCAGTGCAGAGTATGTAGGGGCCCCCGCCCAGCAGAGCCACATCCCCGCTCACCAGCTGTGAGAACTGGGGATGGGGAGTAGGGAGAGAGACACAGACTAAAAGGTGGGCAGGTGGGAGGAGGGAGGGCGCACAGGCTGCAAAGCTGGTTCAGCCAGGTGTTCAGCCTGACCCTGCCTGGGGAGGAGGTGGCCACACCTGTTGCGCCTGGCTGTTTCCCCTTCTCCAGTCCACTGTCACTTTCTCCAGGCCAAACGGGGGCAGTCACCTATCAACCAAGCCCCCATCACACACACTCCAGGAGTCTGGAATAGGGCCAGAGCAAACACCTGGTGGAGTGGGACAAGCAGGTGGGGAAGGGGTGGGGTAAAGCAGGTTAAACCTGTCCCTGACCAGGCACCACCCACAGACAGGCCGGGGAGGCCCAATCCTGCCTGAGGCCCAGCTGGCTCAGTCAATGGCAGCCCCGCCTCCAGGTCTGACCAACCAAGGGGCAGAGAAACTCCAAGGACAGAGCTCCATACCTGGACGCCAGGGGCAGCATGAGCTTTGACCCACACCGTATCGACCAGCTGGCACTGAGCTGTTTGCTCACAGAGGGGGTGGCACTCCTGAAGCTGCCCAGCCCCTCCCCCAGCCTCCATCCCCGCTGGAGAACAGGTAAAAGCACTAAGCTCAGGCTCAGGAAACCACCCACCTCCGATCCCAACTTTACAATCTGAAGCTGGCAGAAAAAGGCAACCCAGCTCTCCGGCAGCAGTCGCCAAATGGGGACTAGCCTGGGAGACCTTCAGAAACAGACTCGGGTTCAACATCTTTTTACCTCCCTTTCCTAATCAGGAACCCACACCAGGATGAAAGAATTTGAAGGTAAAGCACTCACACCCCCTCATACTCAAGAATCAGACACAGGGTGCGCTAGTGAAGCACGGCGCGGTAGTGAAGAAAAAGAAAACAGCAACAGGAACCGCAGCGCGGGCCAGAGGCACCCTAGGCCTTTGCACTCAGGAGGCAGGTAGCCTCCAGGCGGGGTCTGGACAGCGCCCACGCCTGGCCAGCCGGCTGGGACAGGCCTAGACGAGCAGCTTACACCTGGCGGCGTCTACCTCTGGGGCAGACACCGCCCAACGCCCTCGCTCCAGCGTCTCGCAGGAGGGTGGGTGGGCCGAGGACGCAGGCGGCAGAGGCCGTGACCTATGGCCAAGTCCGGGCCCCTCGGCCCTTTTGGCTTCTAGCTGCTGTTCTCGGAGAACCTGGCCGAGCAGGTTTCCAGAGGCGTCTCAGCTTCGCAGCCCCGTAGGTGGGTTTCTGGGAGGGGTTTCGCAGCCCCCATCCCCACCCCCTAGGTAGGAGTGGAGCCCTGGAAAGGCTGAAAAGTAAGACGCCCCCAGGAATGGCCCGCACACGCGGGAAGTCGATGAAAGTTTCAAACAAGAACCTGTCCTACCGCCCCGGCCAGTTGGCCGCGGCGCGCCAGGCCTCTCCCTACCGCCTACCGCCTCTCCCGCAGAGAAATGTCCCCACGGCCCGGCTGTGCCTCACCACGGCCCCAGCGCTCACCTGTTGCAGTACCTTATCCAGAGGCTCAGCCCGCGCCAGGCTGTCGGCGCTAAGGCCGCTCGCCTCGCGGCACTGCTGGCTCAGCGCGGCCGCCTCGGCGCGAATCAGTGACTTGTGCAACGTCCCCACCTGCGAGCAGCGGGGGAAACCGATCAGCCACTGAACCCCTGGCATCCTGAAGCTTCCCGGGGTCCCCACCGCCCCCTTTCCACCGTACCTGGCGGCTCCGAGGCTCCACCACTTGCCAGACTAGGAGGATTAAGTCACTCTCGTCGGAGCCCAGATCCGGCCCGAGCGCACCGGCGGTGGCCCCGAACAGTACGACCAGGGTTCCAGGCACTGGGCTGGGGTCGGCTGCGGAGTCTGCAGCGGGATTCGGGCCCGGGGGCGGTGGCTGGGGTGGCGGCGGAGTCATGGCCGCAGAGGAAGGGGGCGCTCGGCCAGAAACACGCGGACCGACGAGGCGCACGCACGTACCGACGGACGGCAGAGACGCGGACCAGCATGGGCGGGACACAGTGTGTCGGGGGCGGCACCTGCGGCCGGGCTGGCGCAGGGGGAGCTGCTGAGACCCGCCCTTGGAGTCCCGCGGGGCGGAGCGGCTACCGGCTCCCGCCTTCTCTGCGCGAGTTACCTGTCGGTCCCACCGGCCACGTGACCGAGGGCGGCTCCGGGAACCGAAGGGGAGGGCCGCAAATCCCAGCGCTGGGCGAGCGCTCACTCCCAGAAACCCAGCGGGTTCTGCCAGAATTCTGGGGTGACTCTATCCTCCTGCGCCTCCCCACCGACCCTCACTATGAGGCATGAGGCCTCCGCCAAGGAAACTGCAAAACCAAGGGCCTTCTGCAGTCACATGGTACGTGTGAAAATCACCAAGAGGCAGTCTAGGGGCTGTTGGGGTGACAACGGCCGGTCTCGGGGCGGTTAAGATTTTAAGGGTCAAAGGGGTCTGGTGAGTTTCCCAAGTGTCAACCAGACGCCTGTGGAGAGATCAACAGAGATCGAATGGGGGAGAGAGAGGGGCAGGGATCATCAAAGGTCTTTAGAAACGTGAGGAGGGTGCCACCAGAGGTCACAGGGAAGGGCTTGTCCACACAGGTGCGAAGGCCGGGCCTCGGCCTGGCTCTAGGAAATGCCCGCGTTGCTATAGCGCAGTCGAAGGTGCGTAGGGCTCCACGCTGGGGAAGGAGGACGCGCCTCCCAACCCACCGCCCAACTCCCCCACTCCCGAGTGCAGCACTCCGTAGACAGGGCTGAGCCCGACGGTCTGAGTCTGGAGCCTCACCCCTACCCCACAGAGGGACTCTATCCCCACCACCACCTCCCTTTGACGACGGGCCTGTTGTCTGGAGATGTGAACGCGCTGGCGGGTGGGGGCTAGCGGCGAAGCTGTGATGAGGGCGTGCGGGCTGCAGGATCCTCCGTCTCTCCTCCATCTGGGACCAACAATTTAATGGGGCAGTCCCCGCGTGGAGGGCTCCCTGCACCCTTTCGCCCATTCGAGATTGGTGAGGCCGCCCGGAATTCCCCGAAATTCTCCCGTTTATGTGACTGAGAAACTGAAGAAGAATCCGGCGGGAGCAGAAACGTGGGATTGCTGAAACTGAGGCGGAAGACGCTTCCGGAACCGCAGGTTGCTGCGTCCGGATCTTCGGACAAAGGAGGGAAAGAGTCCGCGGTGGAGCGGGCGCCTCCGAGGCTTTGACCGCTGAACCCACACTGCAGCTCGTCCTCACTTGGCGGATAAAGAAACTGAGGCGCTGGGGACGCAAGTGACTCGCGCTGGGAAAGAGTAGGAAATAGACCTGTGTCCGGCGACTTCGGGTGACCAGCGCTTTTCCTAGCGATGTAGGCGGGTGTCCGCGCGTGGCTGCCTCTCCGGGGACCGCCCACCCGGTCCTGATGGTCCCCACCCCCGAAGCGCTAAGCCAGTCAGGCTCCGGGGAGAGGGGAAACGTCGCTCTTCGGGCCCCGTCCCCTCTAGATAAGCCTGGAATGTCAAATATTTGCTTACTGGGAGGGGCACAATAACAAGGGAAGGCCCCTGCCCCGCTCCCCGCAGCGGGCGTGCAGCCGGCAGAACCCGGCCTTCCTCCTGGCCACCCCCTTGCAGCCGACTGCTCTTCACCTCAGCAGCACTCCAGACCTCGGGCTCTCCTAAAACTCCCCTCTCGTCCAGGTCAGCCCCTGGTCGCCGCCCTGCCATCTGGGCACTACTTGATTTCGGTCTCACCCTTCCTGGGCCCCCAGCCTCCCCCATCCGTTCAACCTCTAAGACCCCTCTGGGCCCTTTCCTATTCTTCAGCGCGGGTCTCGATGCAGGATCATCTGGGAAGCCTCCCTCTCCAGGCGGCCCCTCTTCTGTAGCACCTTTGGCCGTCCATAGCTCATTCCCGTTGGAGACACACTCGTGTGTTCAAGTCCCTGCTGGGTAGTCAATGTGAGGCAAGGGGCTGGCAGCATAAGCGGCATGGGGCGGCTCCCCCAAATCCCCTCATGTCGGTCTGGCTACTCCCACCCGCATAACAATTCTTGACACTTGGACTCTTCTTGAAAAGTTGTATTTGTAAAATAACGTTAGTGCCCTTTGCTGAGCTTCCTTACTCATCTTCAGACTTCCTCCCAGGTCGGCCCATTACTACTAAACCTCAATCCTGTCCCCAAACCGGTTCTCGTAGCTCCTTTCTCCCAGCACTAAACCAACTTCCAACACAATAAATCATTTATTATCCTTCTATCCACCCTCAAGAACAAGGAATAGAACTGCTGCAACAATGACCCTGGGGCCATAGGGCCTTTGCCCTAATCTCATCTGCGTCCTTGCCCTGCCTAGTTAACCCCTGCGCTCTCTCCAGATTTTCCCCTCACAAGACACCTTTCTCCATAGCTGGGGCCCCCACTGCAGTTTGAGATCCAGTATCTCACTGATAAATGTTCTCACCCCGACCCTAATACCAGGGTTCAGGAACCGTGAATGAATGAATTGGCGATAAAGTATGCTAGAGGGATGAGCAAGACTCTAACGGCCCAACCAGTGCCTTTCCCAAATCGTCCTTTAGGTATTTGGGAGAAAGGAACTTGGTCCCATGAGCCGGGCTCCAAGCTCCAGGAATCCCATCCTCACTACGGCCCCTTCCAGGTCAACCACGAAAGCAGCCGGCACTGCAGCCGAGGGTGGGTGAAGGTCGAGACAGATAAAAGGTGGGGGGTCTTCACGCGTGACAGGGAGTGTGGCCGTTCTGGAGACCTCAAGGCATCTAGGGAGTGGTGTAAAAGCACTCTCCTCCCTCCCGGGCCAGAAAATCCCGTGGTGGGAGAGGATTCGACGCTGGGTGCCAGCCGGGGGTCCCCCATGGTAATCCACATTCTTTGGTCGAGGCCCATCCCGACCCCCAACACTGGGCCCACTGGTTCCCTTATCTCCCTGGACTCTGCGGCATAGTTCCAACTCAGCGCCTTTGCCGAATTGCGGCAACTAAATACCCACCAGGGGGCGCTCGGACTCTGTCTCCTGAACCAGGTGTTGGGTAGCAAGGAGGAGCATGCCCTGGGGGCTCGACCTGGGGCAACGCCCTAGGGCAAAGGTGAAAGCGAGGTGGGGGGGGAGAATCTTTTTTTTTGGTATCATTAATATACAATCACATGAGCAACATTGTGGTTACTAATTCCCCCCATTATCAAGTCCCACAACAAGGCGGGGGGTCTTGATGCTGCTTGCCCTACCCCCGCCCCTGGTTGCCTCCCTGTGGCTTGAGAATCTTGGAGGCTCCTGGCTCTCTGGACAAAGGCCAAGTTTTTAAGCTTGGTTTTCAGGGCCTTCAAACCTCTCTGCCCACTATCATCCAGGCTGCTGCATAGTCTAAGCTCCCTGCCTGGAGCACCCATCTACCTACTCATCCCTTTGTTTTCCTGGCAAGCTCCTACTTATATTTCAAGTCATCTTTAGTAACTCTCCCCCCAGGCAGCCTAGTCCTTGTCGCCCAGGCCAGGTTAAATACGTGTTCTGGGCTCCAGAGTCCATCATGATTGGTTGGTGTTTGGCCTCTCATGACTCCACGAAGGCTCTGGAGTCATGCTGAGCCGTGAACATTAGGGAGAATCAGTTTGCCTCCAAATGGGCTCTCCAAACTGGGCTGTCAAACCAGCTCAGAAGCCCTGGTCTCCGTTGGATTGTCCCAAGTGCAGCCACCCACCTGGTCCAGGTAGGGGAGCTTGGAGCTTGGGCAAGGGACAGGGAATGCAAAGGGCCCAGTAATGCAGGACGGGCAAAGGCTGTTTGCTGGATTCTCACCTTTGAGAGATACTACAGCTGGCCTTGGCTCCTCAGTCTCTGATTTATTCCTACCTTTGGCCCTTACCCAGAATGTTCCCCTCCACAGGACTACCCTCCCTCTTTTCCAGTCTTTTCTGGAACTTAATCCAACCCTGTGGACCTTTTAGTCCTCCAGGTCTGACAGACACCAGGACCCTATCCTGGAAGGGGGGAGGATTATAGAGAAGGAGGTGTATCACTCATTCACCCAACATTTGTTAAGTACCTGCCATGTACTAGACACTGTGCTGGTGGTAACTAGTAACTGAGAAGGCAACAATAATAGGACAAGAGAGGGGCTTGCTCTTCCAGCTGACCATATTCTAATGAGAAGCAGGCAGGGACTGCTTCAAAGTCAATGGTCAAGTCTGGGCTGAGGCTTAAATGCAGAGCTCAGCTGAGTCCCCAGAAGGGAGGGCTGCAGAGTGCTCACAGTGCAACAAGTGCAGAAGTCCTAAGGGAGATTGGCGGTGCCTGTTCTAGGCAGCAAGTAAGTCATTGAGGCTGGAGATGAGAGAGCTGGAGAAGAGGGAGCAGAAGTTGGGGACAGTGATGGGTCCTCACAATGAGTGAGATGTGTACAATGCATGCAATAGGAGGGTCGTGAGTGGGGTTAGGAAACTGATTTAATGTTCAATGGTGTCAACTTGATATGTGGAGAACAATCCACAGGAATACAGGCATAAATTGGGACATCAGTGAGGAGGCTACTATGGGGATGAGGGTAGTTTAGTTTTGGGAGAATAAAGCTAGCAAGACTTTTTTTGACCACCTGGTTGTGGATCTGAGAGAGAAATACCTAGAGTCCAGGGTGATTCCAGGTCTGTAACTGGAGGGATCCATGTGGATGGCAGGGTCATTGTGAGAAAGGGAGCCCTCGCCTTCTGATCCTTCTCCACAGTGTTAGCATGGGTCATTGCTGATCAGGCCTTGGCACACATTCTACCAATGGTCCTGGTTCCTGTCATCTGTGGGGCCAATGGAGTGGGGCACCAGGGAACTGCTCCTGAGAACATAGCCACCCTTGAAGGGGCCCATGTTCACCTGAAGCTGCTGGGCTGGTAAGACCTTCCCACAGAACAGAGTCCAAGGTCCTGATTTCATCTTAACCTCCCGTTGCTTAATCCATGGCTCTGGGCTCCTGCCTGTCCCTAACCCTGGCAGAAAGGTCCCTGTAGTCTCCCTCACTGGTCTGCACAAGATCCACCCTCGGCAATACATCTGCTGGGGCCTAGGATGGAGGTGACAGAGGCAGAGTTTTAGAGAGGGGGGGTCCCTGAGCTAGGGCCATTGGTGGGAAATGGTTGTACCTTAAGAGAGGCAGATGCCCCCCCACCAATGTGTTTCACTGTAAGAACACAGAAGTGGCAGGCCAAGATGGTCAGTAGGTTTATGGTGGGGCCTTCCAAGAGGAAGGAAAGGGTCACGCATTGACCTAGAGGAAGGAAGGGGTGGGATAGAGTTTCTGGGACTAGTCAGGGATGGCCAGGACCGGTTGTGTGGAGGATCAAATCCTCTAGTCTCCAAACATGCTGTCCCCCTATTGCAGAGTGAAGCACGATGCCAGCATATTACCGGCTGTCAAGTATTTGCTGGCTCTGTTTGCCTCCCAGTCCTCACACAGGGAGCCGGTGTCCTCTCGAAATCCCCAGGTTTGCGTGTGGTGGAAGTGGTGGGGGGGGACCATGAGGTCTCACACCCTTCCCGCTCTCCGGGGGAACTTGTGGATGGGCCATGGCTCAGGGTGGAGACTCAAGACCACCTTCAACCTGACAGGCGAACTGCTTGATCTGGTGGGGTGACTTCACACTCCGCGCCCCTAAAACGGGCGGACAGAACTCTTACTAGGAAGCGAAACACACTGATCTGGCCTCTACCCATCTCTAACACGGGGGCAGAAGGCAGGGGGGCCCTGAGAGGGTGGCCTGAACCCAGGTGACCTCCAATAAGAGTGCGAAAAACCGGTGTAGGGGTTTTACGAAGGTCCCAATCAGCTCCTTGTTCCCTAAGGCCTAAGGACTGCCCGGGATCCACTTCTCCCTTTGTTCTTGGTTTGACTGGGGTTGTTTAGCAGCAGTCAGCACTGGACCCTGAATCCCCGCTCAGCCCCGCCCGTTCTAGGTCCCAGGTCAAGAAGGCTCCAGGAATCGGGTGTAAGGGCTGCGCAACTTGGACTTCGGGTACCAAGGGATGGGCAACGGCGAGCTGGGTCCCACCCGTCGGCAGCTGAGAGCATAGGAGCTCGGCTGAGCCGCGACCGATCGATGCGCTCGGCGAGCAGCGAGGACAAGATTGCTGGCCTGGGAAGAGCAGAGGCGGGGCGGCGAGTCCCGACTGGGAGGGATACGTCTGGCGGCGAGTCCCTATTGGCAGGCGGTTTGCGGGGAGGCGGGCCCTGATTGGCGGGGCCGCTGTGGCAGGGTGCGGGCGGTGGGGTTAAGTGCGTCGCCGCGGCCCGGGCCCAGGCCGGAGGACCGAACGCGGAATCCACACCTCGCACCTGCATCCGCCGTCTCCGGTCATGGACCTCCGCCTCTGCCCCTGCCGCGCGGCTCTGCTCGCAGGTGGCTTCCTTCTCTTCCTGTTGCTCGTAGACCCGGTGCTTCTAGCCGGACGTCGCCCGCCTGTTGTGCTGGGTAAGGCGCTCGTCTAGTGATGGGTGCATTTGTTTGTGCGTCCGGCAGGACGGGATGAGGGCGGGGCTGTCTTCTAGGTCTGTCTCTGCTCTGAGCACGGAATGGGGGAGCGAATGCGTGTCTGTCTTGTCATCTGGGTCGGTCCGTCCACCTCACGCCATGCTAGACGCTGGTGTTGTCAACTTCTCATTTTCCTCCGTAGAATATGGGGTAAGTGGGAAGTTTACGGTGCTGGTGTCCACGTAAGTCCCAAGTCTTGCTTCACCTTATCCCCATTTTTTCAGTTGGAAAGACCAAGACCCTTTGGCCCCACTTCTGTGGGTTGGTCGTGGGTAGGGTGGCCTCAGAATTGGCCCCCAAGGGTGTCAGCATAGACTTGGGCTTGGCTAGGAGGCTGTCTTCCTCGACCCTTCAGCTCCAGATGTTTCAGAGAGCATT